AGCTGCGGATGCAACGAACATTACAAATCAGACACGTTCTGTTTATGAAAATTGCTCTAGATGACAATCTCAGTAAATAATGACAATCTCACAGTGTTATGTGATATATTTTCAGATGTTAGTGACCACGTAAGTGCTGCTATCACTCACACATCATGTGTTAGCTACCACAGCCAGAAACAGATATAAAGAAATGAGGAATTATATATTCGATAAGCTGATCAGGAACATTTCTTTGTCATGCACATGAAAGTAAATCGATTCTTCATGTCTATTCAAGTCGCTAATGCTAATCATCCAGTGGCAAGATTTCGACTGACTAAATGTCAATCTTCAGTGCACTAAAAACTAGTAGCGGAAGCCCCACGTCTCAGGAGGTAAATAAGCGTCTTGCCAATCAGTTTATTACATTTGCCTTTATGCATTGGTTACCGTTGTTTGGTCTATTGGTGATCAGCTTTCGGTCAGTAGGAACCGTGTCATCTTTTAATTAAAAAGGAGAACAGGCATGGAAATTTGCAATTTACGGTTTGGAATGAACAGCAGTTTGCATTGGCCAGCAACAGCTTTCGAGAAAGTCAACGAAAGACTGCAATACGGCGAAAATCGTGGACATCTGAAGCTTAGTTTCTTCATCGTACATGAAGCCAGGTAGAAGCCTGTTCAACGGCTTAAAGTACTGCGGAACCACGAGCTGTCGATGATGTGTTGACTTGAAAATGACGGCTAAACGTTCTTGCATAGACGAAGGTTATTTGCGGCCGTGTAATTTGTGTGGAAGCTGAAAACCTTACTTCTCGGATCGAAACGGAACGAACGTTTGCAACCGTTTCAACGTCAGTCACTTACATTTTCATGAAGGGGCCATTCCGACGCCTTTTTTACATGAACTTGATGGTGCGACGCTAACCTCAATCTTCAAGTAATCAGCCAATAGTACCTTAAATCAAAGGCAGAACCGACAGCAGAGACGTCTCGTTCATGGTGTGTAGTCTCCTGCTTTCTTCGCGCCGAGTTGTACTCGTCCATCAACTTTGAATGGAAGAGAAAACCGACCGGCGCGAGAACCTGTGAACTTTCGGCTCTGATTCCGACCTTGTACCGATTGAGCGACCAGGTCTGAAGCAGTGCGTGGAAAATTCATTGCTCAACGGAATTCGTGGTTGGGACAAAGACTGTTCATCCACCGGAATCGAACTCGGCACCTGCGGACTTCAGAGCCGACTTCTTCAGCACTTCGCCACAGCGCCATTTGGATCTGTACTTTGTGACCGCCAGACAAAGAAACGCAATCACTGATGAACAGTAGGGAAACGTCAGGTAAAGAATAGAATGAATACGTTGATAAAAACCATTTAATAGGGCATTTGCTGATGACTTCAACAGGGACTCAATCACTGCCTCACAAATCAACTTTCACGCTAGGTAAACCTTAATTTTCCAAATTTCAGGATGGTT